GTTTGAATTTAAAAGGGGCGCGCCTTTTTACCGTGATCGGCGTGCGTCCGCCGAGCGGCGTTGGGAGCGGCGATCGCGCATGCGTCGAGCGAAAAAAAGTATGGCGTATTGTATCGTATTAAGACGACGTGCGTGCCGTTTGTTCTCGGTTTTGCCAATAAAAGTAATATAAAAACTCTTTTCTGTGCGTGAGCTAACTCTTTTCTGTGCGCGAACAGACAGCTAGCTTTATGTTTGTCTCGATGTACGTACAGCGACCCGCGTTTCTTATGTTTGGCTCGCAAGAAATGTCACGAGTTCTAAGAAGTTAAGGCCTCGAATTTTTCCCAGAACAGTTGCGAGCGTACAGCGATAAGAATTCGGCAGGACGACTCGTCCTCAGTCGGTGTTTACCAGGCTGTCGAACGAGTGCCTCGACGAACGTCGCTTATACTGTGCGTTTATAGTTTTGTAGGGAATACAGTGCTGGCTCGAACAACGCGTTTTCTATTATACGCGTAATTTTTTTGAAAAATTTTGACGTTCATTTCGAATCAATTTACACATTTATCATACATTCACAATTTTCTCCGTTATGATATTCTACGTCCTTTGGATTCCACAACACCGATTTTTCTTCAACGAAGAGTGATTAAATCGGTAATTTCATTTCTCCATCAATTTCTTTTCCTGACATTTTTTACTCGCACGAGAGTATTTTCAAGAATACCAAACTGATTCGTGTTCGCAAAACTATTGTCCGACAGCAATATGATTACGTATCCATTCGAGAGCAGGTCCCAACACGTCTACTCTCAGACAGTCAAGCTCAGGGGCAGTGTCCACTCTCGAGAGATACTCTCGAGAGCAACTCACGATAGTTTTACTCTCAAAAGGACTTCTAGCTTTGTGTTTGGCTCGATGTACGTACAGCGACCCAGGCTCGCGTTTCTTATGTTTGGCTCGCAAGAAATATCACGAGTTCCAAGAAGTTAAGGCCTCGAATTTTTCCTGGAACAGTTGCGAGCGTACAGCGATACGAAATCGGGTAGGACGACTCGTCCTCAGTCAGTGTTTACCAGGCTGTCGAACGAGTGCCTCGACGAACGTCGCTTATACGACGCCATCGTAGTCTTGTAGAATATTCAGTGCCCCCTCGAACAACGCGGATTTACGTGTTTAGCATACCTTTATAATTTTCCTTATCGTGGCGAATAAGAGAGGTGGAAAAGTGCGACAGTGAATTCGTTTGTGTGAACTAATTCCACGCAAATTGTCGCGAATACTTAAATTTGGGAGAAAAATCAAACGACCAGTGTGTGCCTGCGAGCTACTTAGTTACAGTTTCGCGCTATGTAAGGTGAATAATGTGCCTAATTACATAATTTGCACCTACTGTATGTATACAGGGTGTCTCCTAACACGACGACTTCAAATAACTCGTAAGTTATTCGTTGTACGAAAAAATGTTTGAAACAAAAGTTGCATGTTATCTAGGGGGACATACAGTGCTCTAATCTGTTTTTTATTACCTTACTTTTTTATTGAGATATTAGGGTCATATTCAGTTTTTTAAATGGAATGTCTAATATTTTGCAGCGTAATTCTTAGCACGACTTTGTTTACTTGTTTTATAAATATCTCAGTAATTATTCGTTTTAAGTCCAACTTTATATAATACTTATTACGCAAAATTTGATGATTTATCCGAATTCGAAAAAAAATATTTGACATTCCATTTAAAAAACTGAATGTCTCCCTAATATCTCAATAAAAAAGTAAGGTAATAAAAAACATTGTTTGAAATATTTTTTCGTACAACGAATAACTTACGAGTTATTTGAAGTCGTCGTGTTAGGAGACTCACCCTGTGTATACGTACACAATCGAATAATTGCGTTAATTGAAAATAGAAGAGGGCCTACGCATTAATAATTAGTTTAATTATTGCTATAATTTCGTTTTATTGCATCCTATGTTTATTTTCGTTGTGATGAGGTGTGTTATAGTTATGGTTGTATAGTTATGAAACAGCAACAAATTAGTTTCTTATTGCTTTTCCCCGCGACTTGTACATATTCTATCCTTTTCTGGGGAAACGTTGTTTATCAGCAAACAGGCTTTTGAACATGACGTCCTTCGTTTATCGTACTTTAACCACAATATATGGGAATTGAAAATATTGAAGTGATTTTATAGATATGACACACAGTGTGTGTACGTATAAATATGTGCACATGCATTGGAAGAATATAAATTTACTTCAGTTTTTCGTGAAGGCGGAAGGTGGTTCCCAACTACGCGGAAAATCGACGTCCCTAACTTCCGCGTTGTTCAAAGGAACACTGTATATCTTTCCCTTCTGGTTTATTTAGATATACTATACAAAGAACTTTGAAATTAGAAGGATCAATGGAAAATAAATTAGCATATACATATAATTATTTGTTCATTTGAACAAAAGTCACCATATACTTGGACTAAAGCATCTTAATAATGTTTGTACCTTGAAGTAAGAAGGATTTGATTCTTCTAGTATTAATTATTCGGGCTACCTGAAATCCCTTTCGAAACCTAACTCACCACATTTCGAACTATTAGATCATCCCATAAGTAGTTGCTTTAGAAGTCCAATTTCAATAGAAAAATAATAGTATTTACATTTGCTGTTAATCCATGATATATTGATCGTTGTTTGCGAGAATTATTTGCCATTTTTCAGACAAATTTATTATCCCCTGTTGAAAAGAATTTTTATCTTTCGGATTAAGAAACTAAAAGTGGTCTGTATTCTTGAAGTTTCTACCATTTAAAAAGCTTTCTGGTGAACGTGTGGTATTAATTCCCAGTTCACAATTGTTTAATTTTATCAATTCTTGTTAAACATGATACCAACATGATACGGACCAATGACAAAAGTACTTTCATGCTTCACATCTTCAAACAAGCTACCAAAATTTACCAAACGTACTTCTACAGATTGTAAATTAAAGCCAGAGAAAGTAAATAAAAAAATAGAACTCTGTTTCTCATATGTGGGAACATCGAACCAAGATAAGAAGCGACATTACTCATCGAATGACCTAACACTATCTTCCCTCCGAAACGAAAAAAACCCCCATACGTTAAAGTGCCCACAATGCCAACTTCCCTCACGCCAACCGAAACTTCTCACCGTCACCGAAGTCCATCTTTCCGGGACCAACGAACCCCGGTGGCTGCTTCCGTTTCTCATTCATCAGTCAACGAAGACAATTCCAGCCGCGTGTTGCGACGCGATTTGTCACGATATCGTTCTGTGAAGCGGTTCGCGGCATCGATATTGTACCTCGTACAATCCTCCGCATCCAAGAGTGAAACAACGAAGGAGAAGGAGGAAGAGGAGGAGGAGGAGGAGGAAGGCTGACGTTGCGGGTGAGCAAGTAACACAGGAAAGGAAGGAAGGAAGGAAGGAAGGAAGGAAGGACGGCAAAAGGAAAAGGGACAGGTGGGGCAGAGTGGAGGAGGGTAAAAGCGGGCGTGTTAGAGAGTAACCAAGCCAAGGGATCTCTCGCAAACGCACAAGGCAACCGTCGCGGGCGCGCGCGCGCCAGTCTTCTCCATTCGTCGTGGCTCGGCTCGTCGACATTAAGATAATTACTTTCCAGCAGGACGTGCGCGTTCATTGTTGCCGTTACCGCGGCAGAATGGCATTATGCATTGTCAACGAAGAAAGTGAGGGAGTGCGTGGAGCAACAGAGGGGGTGATGGTGATGGTTGCGCGAGAGAGGAACGAACAGGGGTGGAAGAAGGAAGCGGGGGGAGAGAAGGGGTGCACCCAGTTGGTATACCTTAGCCCGTGGGTGGAGCATTATTCCGTCAGTTCCATGTTTCGCCATTGAAACTAGCGCACGCTCGGGGACAGAGGTGGGTTAGCAGGAGGCGCAGGAGGAGAGGGGAGGACGAAGGGGGGTTGCCTTCCGTTCCTCCGAGGAAGACGTCGGGAATGGGGGTGTGGGCATCTACCGATGTACCCAACAGCTTTCTCCCGACGCGACGCCATTAATGTAATTATTTCCAGCGAGTGTTCCAACAGCCTCGAAACGCTTCGCGGGAATTGAGACTGATCAGCAACCGGCTGCTGCCTGCTGCTTCTGCTGAGAAAGAATCTCTGTGTCCTCCTCAGGGGGATGCATGCCTTCGCGGCTTCACCATTTTCCTTCTTCTCTATCTTTCACCCTCTCCCCCCCCCTTATCCATCGTCCTCTTTAACGTTCTCCCTCTGTTTCACTTTGACGCTTGTACATTTCATACTCTCTGTCCCTGTTTCAACGCTTACACCGTGTACGTGTTCTCCTTGGTGACAGTCAGCAAGAGGAGGGATGGATGACTCTCTCTCGTCAGAGCGGCGACGAAGCGTTAAAACGAGACGCGCTTGTCGGATTTGTGTCGCTCGCTTGCAACCACGATAATACCCTGATTTCGCGTAATGGGTTTTGCTCGCAGTTTGTCGCTTTCCGATTCTCTATCTCGTTTTCTCTCTCTTTTTCTCTCTATCGGTGTGAAAATCGCGCGGACTTTTCTGTGGAATTGATGACACTTTGTGACGCAAGCACGACTCGTTTCTTCGTCCCCTTTGAGGAAAGGAGAGGGTGTCGCTGATGAATTCGCGAACTTCTCGTCTCTGATACCGCGTCTAAATATTTGAGAATGCATCTTACCCGCGGAAAGAAGTTCCCTTTCGCGAGGAACAGGAAAGAGGAAATGCTGGATGCGCTTCTTTTGTGCACAGCTCCAACGTTCTTTCTTCTTTCTTTCTCCGTTGCGACGTGAAGTTGCTCCCCTCGCACGAAACAGGTATTCTCAATTCTAACCTACGTCTCGTTGAACGATCGACGGTCAAAATTCTCAGTGAATGGCGTTTCGACCGGGAAATTGAAGAAGAAAAAAAACCAGTGAAAATGCAATCGGGGTTAAATTTAGCGTGGTGAATGAAAGCGTTGGGACGAAAAGGGGGTAAATTTTGTGTTTCACGTTGCATCATGTCTGTCGCGGAGACTTTCGTCGAGGAAGACGGTTTTGGGTTCGTTCCCAGGCCGGATCGTAATAAACATAATAAACCATTCGATATTGTTAGAAGGTAAATTGCGGATATTAGTCGACGTTCCTCCGGTTTTCTGGGTTATTCCACGTCTATTATTCCTTCCGTCAGATATACAATGACCAACAGGCACAAAGCATCGGTGCAATTGATTTCTTGGGGCGCCGGTATTCAGGCCATCAAAGTACCCAGTCGGCCGGGTATTTTGGGCGACGTTGTTTTAGGATTTGACGACATGGACGGTAAAACTTTTCTATAAATCATGATCAGTATCGCCGAAGAAGTGGAAATACGTTGCACGATACTCCAAATATTTCGTAATACATATTCACGGAAATGTATAATCAGGTTATTTGAAGAACAGGTATATAGGAAGTATAATCGGAAGAATTGTGAATCGCGTATCTCATGCTAAGATGAGGATCGAAAATGAGATGTATTGTTTGTCCGTTAACGATAAGGACGGTGTTAGCCATTTTAACGGAGGTTTCGTTGGATTTGACAACGTTAATTGGGACTCGTGCATATTGAACAGCAGACACGTGGTACGAATGCAACTTTCTAAATAAGTGGTTCTTTGTGTTTGTTCGTTTCTCGGTGACATTCGAGCATTTCTACTTATTCGAAGTTACGTGAAATTGTATTATTTCGATGAAACAGGTAATGTCTCACTTGAGTCCGGCGAACAGCGAAGGATATCCAGGAAATATGTTGACGCAGATTAAATATTCCTGGACGGATGATAATCAGCTTCATATTAATATTCGTGCAACTACCACTCAACCAACACCTGTTAACATTACCACTAATTGCCTGATGAATCTTGCAGGCCATGTAAAAATTTTCGATCGTTTATTCATCCTTTTATTACGTTTCTTTCTTTTTCACAACAAGCGTAAATAACGTAATTTTCGTATTGCACATTAATTATGAATTCCTTTATTCCGAGGAAAAATGCTCGTGAATATTTAATTGGCAATAATTATTTCGTGGCACCTGTTAATTAAATTATTTCTCTTACTCCGTTCTTCTTTCTTTCTTTTTTTTTTTCTTTTCTATTATTGCCAGGCTACTGGTCCGGATGAATTGAAGAAACACGTGATCTCGATGAACGCAGGTAGTTGGACGTTCGCGGATATCCGGGACAGTTTGCCGACAGGTGCTATATATCCGGTTGATCGTACAGTGTTCGACCTACGTTTACCGACTCAGTTAACCAAACGGCGGCTTTACATCGTACCGGGGGGTGGTTACAACCAGAATCTCTGCATCACCAGCCCCAACTGCTGGTGTTATCGATTCCATGCTAGGTAAGTGCACGAAACTCGAAGGTAATAGGGCAGAATTTCTCTGTGAACGTCGCATTGAACCTATGTAGCTCTTGTCGTGGAATCGAGATAAGCATTAATCGATTAATAAAATTCGTTAATCTTTAAACTGTGAACAAAAAACATAGAGAAAACATCGAAGGAAATTAATTTTCATTCCTTTTTTTGCTTTTCTTTCATTTCAATTGTATTTTTCAATGTTTGCAATATGTATCATGTACTGTAATGGATTCATACTGCAGATCATGATTTTGAACGTGTATTAATGAGGCACGTGTGACATGTATTAGATAATTAAAGTCTGTGCTTTTAGTATGGAGGTAATTGTGCGTTTCAGTATCCGTGTGCACAGATATATAGATCTCTAATTCGCGTGCATTTAAATACACGAATATGTGTGTATTATTATATTCATATTTCTAATAATAATAATAATTGTAATATTACATTCATATTTTAAATAATAGCAATATATTTTTTCAATAATCGCGAATACGTATTTTCTCCCGAATTTAATACACGGGTTTTAAAAATGACGCGAATTAAAATATGGATCCGTTAATCCACGTGTATTTACATGAATAAACTTGAAGTAGAGACCTCTAGTTTACAGCTGTGAGTAAATAAATAAACCAATTATTACGATGTCAGTTTAATCGCTGCTAAAAATTGCACATTACGAGTGCAAGATGAATTTAGTGTCTCTATTGAAGTTAGTGTTTATATTTTCCACCAAAGAATCGTGCACGCCGGCTCAGGAAGAACCTTAGAAGTGTACTCGAACAAACCAGGTCTACAATTTTCCACAGGAAACGATTTACCCAATCCCGATACCTATTATCCACCCGATTTCGACGATTTCTGCAACTGTCTGGATGACGTTAGCTATCTTTAATTTAACCCTTCGCTAAAATCGTACGAACCGTTGAAAATCATGAATATAACGAATTATAGACGCTCGGATTGAACGTGGACGAAAGGGAAATTTGGGGGAAAGACGGTGTTCGATATAAAAGACACAGCGGATTCATCTTGTCGCCACAAAACTACCCCGACGCCATCAACATAAGCAATTTTCCATCTTGTATATTGTATCCTGGACAAGTTTACTCGCACGATCTGACGTATAAATTTGGTTTACTGTCGAAAAATTCATACAACTCGGATGGTCATTGAAAGAAGCATATAAGATGATTTTTAATTAACAAAATAGACGTAGATTTATAATACATATATTTGTGAACCATCTCGGCTAGGACAATCCTCGTGTATCCGCGCCGATTGTACAGAATTATCCATCGTAGTCTCTATTCACATATTTATCGTACGTTCACCCTGCATTTCCTTAAACGGCTGTGCAATTAAGATGAACGCAGGGATCGCCGCTAATTAAATTGTACATATTATCAAGTCGATTAACGTTACTTTGCTTATGTAATTCTCTTTTAATTGTCCTGAAGGCACTTGCGTGCGACGATGTGAGAGAGAAAATATATGGACACTTTTGTCGAGAGATTTCTTCGAAACTCGTGTCACGAAAGATCTCGTTTATAACCGTTCCGTTAAATCTCTTACATCGACTCCGTTCTGTTATCTGCTAGTCGACTATAAACGTTTATAAATATATAAAGCTATGTCTGTGTATGTATACATTTTTTTTCTTCATTTACTTAGGCTTAATAGAAAACTTCATTTCTTTTTGTACATCCCTAGAGTGTTATTTCTACGTGTGGCGTAACATATTGTCGGCGGGCAGTTAAACCTTATGGCAGAGAGATTCTGAAGGCAGTTTCTCGAGCTTTTAAGTGTCTTTCTTTTTTAGCTGATTTTTTTTTTTTTTGGTCTTTTCTTTTCGTCACAGAACACATTACAAAAGTTACATTTAATAAACGAAACAAAAAGATATCTATCGTTTAAAAAAAAGAAGAAAAATACGAGAAAGTAAATGTAAAAAGGAATAAAGCAGAGGCAGTGTTAAAAAAAAAGAAAAAAGAGGAAACGATTATTTGGCAGTGAGATTGGAAGTTAACAAATGAACACAAAATTTCAAGCGTTTGGAACTAAATTCGAAAAGGAATCGTGTGCCTGTATAATACTCAGCCCGGCAATCTCCCGTTTTATCGGATCGCTGTCGTTTCGGTGTTCTACGTGGCAACGTGAAAATTGACTAAAAGAACCGAAACTTCGTACAGCGTCACCCCGAACAATTACTCCGTCACTATTAAATGCACTCTGAATGTTAGAGGCCTCTCCCACACTTGGTTCTCCTCGCTGATACCGTTTCTCGTGCGTCCGTGTATCACCAGCCGGAATTGACCGGGTTCCTTCAGTCGACTGCGGAAATGAAGAGCCGAAATACCGTGTTCGTTCACGATCTCGAAGTCGTTCCCGTTGTTCCCTTTCACTATCGTGTATTCCATGTCTTTGTCCTGCGAAACGATTTAACAAATTGTCGATTAAAAATAGAAAGCGTATTATTCACCGTTTGCGCACCGATTTGATTCGAACTTGTGACTTAAAAAGTACAAAAATATTCTCTGCTATTTTAGACACCAAATTAACCCTTTCTCTGACCTAACCAGACGGTAGATGTTTAATCGCGGCCTCAAGATTTTTTGTTTCGGTGATATGAAGTTACTAAAAATAATATGTCTTGTGACTTAGAATATAACAAATATTCATTGCTATTTTGGGCACCAAATTAACCCTTTTAGCAAAATAGAAGATTAAGCAAAATCTTCTGTTTTGGCGTTTCAAAATTTAAAAGAAATGTTTAAATTTATCATTTTATTAAATTAACGTGGACGTGCGCGAGAAGCAAAAATTGAGGATTAAATTAAGATGAAAGTGGAGAAAAAGTCGCCAACAGCACAGTGCGAGAAAATTTTCAAAGCGCCTATAGGCGCCAACAAATCTCAAACTCATCATTGTCTACTTAGAAAAAAGAAGTGTTTGCAAAATTTGCCTCCTGAAAAGCCGCCAATGGGTTAATAAGACAAGAAAATTTGTTAAATATTTGAAGTAAATTAAATTGTAAAGTAGGAACCTTGAGAGCAGGTTGTAATTTAATGATTCTCATTCGGTGTCTGGTCTGTCGCAGACTGATCTTAAGAACATGTTCTTCGCCATGATGATGCCTCTTCGCTGATCTGACAAATCGTCTCTTTATAATTTCTGTCCTTCGTGCACTCAGTTCCTCGTCCGTCGATTTTATTCTTATACCTCCTTTACCATTAACCTATTCCAAGAAAAAGGTGATCGAATTTTTCAATCTATTCAGTCGATTATTCGAATTAAAACGGATTGTAAGTTTGAAGTTCTAAAGTACCTTGCAAGAGAAGCAACCTTCTGTCGATATAGTCTTATCGTCTGCTGGTGGTATGTGATAAGGATCTGGATTGATCACGTAAGTAGGTGCGTTGCTGATGTCCTCGCCGTAGTGTCCTTGAGACAACGGATTTATGGTCGATAGACAATGACCCTGGAGAAAAAATTATCAGAGTGTATTCTTAAAAAAGTTATAATTAATTTTTCGGTTAAATCTTTCGTTACAAACCTGTCCAATTCTCTGATAACCAGTGGGACATCCACAAATGAAACCGTTTGCTCCGTTAGGTGTGCAACCGAATGCGCAAGGACTTCCCATGCACCCAGCGCTGACCTAAAAATTCGTCAACGTCTTTAACATCGTCTGTGATAATTAAAATCCTATCGGTAAAAATTAATTTAATTATTACCTGAACACAAATCTGCAAGTTACTGTCGAACTGATAGCCATCTGGACAGCCACATTTGTAGCTACCAATGGTGTTGATACAAGTGTTATCTCCGCATGGAGAAGTGCTGCATTCATTTTCGTCGATGCACTGATTGTAATAAAGGTGTTGAACGAATCCTTCTGGACATCCGCAACGATAGCTTCCCATGAAGTTCTATAAGTTTGATAAGAGAGAGAAAGAATGCGTTGAAATATTCGTGTGAAGAATGAAAATTATGCTACTTACTTGACAACCGTGTTCACAAGTCGCGTCATCGGCACACTCGTTCTGATCGACGCAAAATCTGCCAGACTGATCGAGCTTGAATCCTCTCGGACAGATACACCGGAAGCTGCCAAGAGTATTGATGCAAGTGCCTGGTTTGGGGCAGGTTCCAGGCTGGTCACACTCGTTTATGTCTGCAAGAAATGAGAAATTAAATAGCTATTTAACCCTTTCGCATCTGTGGACGAGATATCTCGCGAACTAATTTTTTGGGCGAGATTTTATTATTCAATATTTACAACTCAGTGTAGTTTATTTAACGTGATATCTCGCGGCTATATTGAGTCTGTAACTTAATTTTCACGTGGCTTTGAAAAATTGAAAATTAACGAAGAATAGAACTATTAGCGATAGTAACAGCGGTGTTTTCCAAAATGGGTACTGCGAAAATATTCTGGGGTTCGGCGAGATAAGGTGTTTTTTAATATATCCTCAAAGGTTTCCATTTGTTATCACTCCTGATTCAACTTTTCTTTTAGTGGACAATTTCGATATACTGCGCTTTTGTTCCATGGAAAAAGGCTATATTTTATTTTCGAATAAATAAGTATTATAGCTTACAATCCTATGTAAATGATAAATATCAATAACACGATTCTTTTTCTTAGCTTTCACATTGTTATTTTCAATTCTCGAATATATTCGAGTGTGAAAAATTATAGCAGCATCAAATACAACGCCGCTCGAATTATCTCGAGTGTGCACAGTTTGGCCTGTTTAGCGCGCTCGAATTAACTCGAGCGTGCAAGTTAAGGGGTTAATGTTGTTAAATTTACGGTGGCGATTTTTTGGAAAATTTTGGACACTGATGTAGAGTGTAGCGTATATAGCGAAATTTTCTGTGCGTAGCATCCTTGAATGTTCAAAACATCGGACAAGCAACTTCATTATTAATTAACATCCTACAAACCGTGACAAGCATCTCCATCTTGCGTGTAACCCTCTTGACAACCGCAAGTATAGCTTCCTTGAGTATTGATGCAATTCTGTTGACAAAGATGATTTCCAGTCGCACATTCGTCCAGATCTCTGCAACTGATGCCGTCAGGATTCAAGATAAAGCCAACAGGACACGAACAGATGAAACTTCCTTCTGTGTTCTGGCAGCTGTACTTGCATGGTTTCGGTGTCACTTCGCACTCGTTTATATCTGTAATTAAAAGAGTCGACAAAAATTCAAGTAAATATAAAATAAGAAATTTTGAGTAATTCATTGCATCCGTAATACTCGAGAATACTTACCAACGCATTGAGTTCCAATTCTGTCAGGCTTGTATCCCTTGTTACAAACACATCTGTAGGAGCCAAGTGTATTGATGCACAATCCATTCTTGCATAAATCAGGAATCGTTCTGCATTCGTCAATATCTAAAAAATTGCCCAATATCCAATTGTGTAGCATAGGAATAATAATAAAAAAATAATCGTCAAAATTTATGTGTATACCTTGGCCGTCAATGGTAAAGCCTTTGTCCAAGCAGAGCTCGTTATAATTTTCAGAGTCCTTCGAAGGACAGATCTCGCAGTGTGGTCCCCAAGCTGCGCCCATTGTGCAACAGCAATCTGCTTTCGTCACTGTTTTCAAGTCGGAGGTCCTTGCGGTGCATCTGCCGCCAATTATTTGCAAGAAGCAATAACCCATTCTACGATCTGAAAAAGAAATTAAAGTAGAAATTCATTCGGAGTTCATTTTTCTCGATTAGTTTATTGGCTTTTTCCATTCGTTACCTATGCAAGACTTTCCATCAGGACTCTGCTCGAAACCATCGTAGCAAAGACACTGATAACTTCCTTCCATATTGACGCATTGACCATTTCGACATAGACCCGAATTAATCGCACATTCGTCGATATCCTTGCACTCGTCAATCATGCCAATTTGCTGATATCCAGGTGGACAGATGCACATGAAAGAACCAATGAGGTTCTTGCATTGGTACTTGCAATTATTCGCTGGTGTTGCACACTCGTCCACGTCTACAGACATAGTTATCAAATAATTTAGAAAAATTCCAGGACAATTTTTTTTTCATACTATAATACTTCTTACACGACTAATTTTAGATCAAAATTATTATATCCAGGAAAGTTCCAAAATTGTTTAATTTACGTGAGAAAGATATTAAGACAGGTTAAATCATGATAAATTGAAAAATCTCTTGCTCATGGAAGGAACAAAGAATTTGTAATTAAGATGCTCAAACAGTTTTTATGTTTCCAATTACTCATACAAGGATCGAAAATTCGAATTCACTTCATCTCTTACCTATACAATGCCTTCCATCCGGAGCCAAAGTGTATCCGTAAGGGCAAATGCATCTGAAGGTGCCAGGTGCATTGTGGCACCTGAAGGCGCACTGGTTGCCAATCTCCAGGCACTCGTTCACATCCTCGCAGATCTGGTTCACTCCAGGGGTGAATCCTTCGTTGCAGTAGCATTCAAAGCCACCTTTGATATTCGTGCACGTCCCGTTGCCACATATGTTCTGCTGGTTTAAGCACTCGTTATTGTCGATGCAACGTCTGCCAGTTGCGTCCAGAACGTATCCAGATGGACACTCGCACCGGAAGGAGCCATCGGTGTTTATGCACTCGCCTTCAACACAAGCGTCTTGCATGAAGAGGCACTCGTTTAAGTCGATCCCTGTGTCGTCTCTGCCTGGGCCCTCGGGACACAATCTTCTGAAGTCCTCTAAAAAATGAAAGCAAAAAGAAAAATTGGGGATATGTGAATTTCGTTTGAGACTTTGATCTTTTTTTTATTATTATTTTTTCTCTGGTATTTCTTTGATCTGTGGTTCATCTTCCTTAATTACTTTTTCTTTGGTATTTCTTTTGAAAGATTTTGAGAATTGGGGCACGTAAACTTCGTTTGAAATTTTGATCTGTTTATTTTTTTTTTAATTATTTTTTCTTTGGTATTTCTTTTGAAAAATATTTTACCGCTGTCTTCCGGAGGGCACTGTTCACAGTATTTGCCCCAAGCCTTCCCCATCGTGCAGCAACAATGCTTCTTCGTCATGCCACCCGTTCGAGGAAGCGAACATCGTCCTCCTACGTGTCTGATGTATCTATCGTAGCACAGTTCCTCCCTGACGTCGACACAGCGCATTGAATTCAGATTGTCGCTTAATCTGTAGCCAACTGGACACTCGCAGATCACTCCTCCGTCTGTATTGATGCAGCGACCGTTTTCACAGATTCCTTGTGTCTCCACACATTCGTCCACGTCTATATTGAACAAGTTTCAATTGTATTTACATTACATTTAACATATACTACGAATTATCACAGCGTTATCGCAAAATGGGTTAAATTATTACAAAATGACAGGGGGGTGAAATCAGGGGGAAGAGAGGGGTGTTCAGATTTTTTAGTAGCCTATATTTTCAGCAAGGCCCTAAAGAATAACTATGCAAAATTTGGTCCAAATCGGTCAAAGGGTTTAGGAGATAATAGGGAACATACAGGCAGACATATTTTATATACCGGGTGTTCCACAAGTATTGCTAGAAAATTTACGCAGTAATATTTAAACGTGAATAACTAAAAAACAAAGCCTTAAACGCAATTTTTTTATTCTTGATTTTCGTCTTATTTTTGCCTGTAGAATCATCCCTGAAAGTTTCGTACAATTTCTTCTATTAAATTTTTGTTTTGCTTACCCACACACTTCTTCTTCGTATGATCCAATTCGTAACCAGGAGGACAGTTGCATATGTAAGATCCCATTAAATTCTGACATTTTCCTGGCGACGGACATAATCCAGGAATCTAATACAATTATTCCAATCGTGTAATATCAAATAGAATATTAAATTTCGTTTGTAAAAAGAAAAAGAACTTACCTCGTGACACTCGTCGATGTCTCTACAGTGCTGGCCATCTTGAGCCAAGACGTAGCCATCGGCACACTCGCAAATAAACGCACCAATAGTGTTTCGACATCTTCCATTGCGACAGAGGAACGGCATTATTCGACACTCGTCGATATCTGTTGCAAAATTAACAACGTCTTAATCGTAGATCAATGTCACTAAAATTGTACGCATAGAAAAGAAAATTTACCAGCGCAGTCGTTGTTAGGACTGAGCTTGAATCCCTGATAGCAGGTGCACTTGTACGATCCAAGCGTATTCACGCAGGTTCCATTGTTGCAAATGTTCGGATTGCGCTGACACTCGTCAATGTCCACGCAGTTGTCCCTGTCTCGTGTCAACGCGAAACCAGGATGGCAAATGCATTGAAAGCTGCCTTGCAAGTTGTTGCAGGCGCCACTACTGCAAATTCCAGGTCGTTCGTAACACTCGTCAATGTCGACGCAGTCTCGTTGGCTAAGGCCCAGCTTGTATCCGGCTGGACACACGCATTCGAAGTAGCCTTGCTTGTTGATGCACTGTGCGTTACCGCTGCAGGGATTCGGGATCTGTAGACACGAGAAAAGCGCGAATGTTCAAAATTATTCGTCGAAATAGATACCAAAAATTGGAATCTTCAGCTTACAACCCTTTCGCTGTAAAATTATTTTGATTTTCTCACTATTTTTCGTTTTGGTCAAGGAGAATACTGTCGAACGTCGCAGTGAAGGAGAATAAATTCCGAGGGCGCGTAGATGAAGTCGAACGTGTAAGAAAAGGGTTAATAAGCATTCAACTTTAAATCTTAGGGTCCTTCGTATCTGAGAAAATATTTATAAATTTTATTCGTAGTCTTTCTACCTGCTGACACTCATTCTCATCGATACACTGATGAGAATCCTGATCGTACTCGTATCCTCGATCGCACTGGCACTCGAAACTTCCTGGAGTGTTCATGCAACGCCCGTGAGTGCACATCGTTGGCATAAGGGCGCATTCGTCGATCTCTTCCGAGTGATTAGTTATTGGGTTCACTATTTGACCAGGTACCATGCCACACAGGATCTCATGTTCGCCTAACAGAGAAACATTTGATCGCAATAAAAGTTTCCTCTCGTTAATTCCATTGAAATAATACTTTTTATACTTACGAGTCCTCTCAGCGGGACATTTTTCACAAGGACTACCCCATGCAGCTCCCATAGAACAGCAACACAACATTTTCGTCTGTGTATGCATCATGGGATTGAAACATTGACCATCTTCGTAGTTGACGTAGCACGATTCTTTTCTCATGTCGACACACTCCTCTGACAAAATAATTTCGTGTAATTATCGGGAATTTTCAGAAATACTTTTAATTAAAATTCACTTACTTCCTCCAGGCATCGCCATGTATCCTTCTGGACACTCGCAATGATATTTGCCCTGATCATTAATACAGTATCCCACTCCACATATTTTTGGATGCAAGGCACACTCGTCTATGTCTACAATATAAGTGAAAAAATAAATACTAGGTTTTTGATATGAAATAATTAAAAATTTTGTAATTACCTATACAACTGGTTTTAGTATCGTCCAAAATGAAACCTTCATTGCAAGAGCACATGAAGCTACCAAACGTGTTAGTGCAGTGTCCGTTCTGACAAATATTCTCATGTTCTTCACACTCGTTAATGTCTTCCAAAATTACGGTGACCTGATTAGGTCTGTATCCAGGACCAGCTGGACACAATTCCTCGAATTCTTTGGTCCCAACCTGAGGACACTCTTCGCAGTTGTTGCCCCAAGCGTTGCCAATGCTGCAGCAACACGTCGCTTTCGTGACTGAGGAGGACATGTCGAAGATGCACTGTGGTTTTCCGGTACCGTGCTCGAAACCCGTGAAACAGAATGATTCTCGCCTATCTACAATATTGAAAGAAAAATTAAATACTCTAATATGATCTCAAAAATTTTTTTAATTTATCTGTAAAAATTTTCGCTTATCTACAATTCTGAAAACAAAATTAAATATTCTAGTATGACCTCAAAGATCTTAAAAATTTATTTGGAAAAATTTTCGCTGATCTACAATACCAAAAAGAAAAAATTAAATATTCTAATGTGGCCTTAAAGATCGTGAAAGTTTATTTTGAAAAATGACTTACCAACGCAGGCGTTTCCAGCTTCGACCAATTCATAATGAGGAGGACATTTGCATACGTATTTTCCCTGAGTATTAATGCAAGTACCATACTGACAAGATTGTGGATTCTCGCATTCGTCGATATCTGTACAATTCCCTCCAGAACCGTCCAATTTATAGCCCTCGTTACATTCGCAACGGAACATACCGAATATATTCTCACAACGTCCAAAGACACACAAATTACTGAACATCTCGCACTCGTTTATATCCACGCAAGTCTGGTCGTTATTTTCATCGGGATGCATGAAACCCATCTCACATTCGCATCGAAACGACCCAGGATAATTCAAACAGTGTCCATTCTCGCAGAGAGTATTGTCGTTCGCGCATTCGTCGATATCTTTGCAATTGTAGCCATCGCCTCTGAATCCAGCGTCACAGACACACTGGAAAAATCAAGAAATTTCTTCGAGCAATGCAATAAAAAAAGAAAATTCGTGAAAAATTATGAACGAAATCTCGCGATATTCTGCTCAGTCAGAAGTAATACCTTGAATGATCCTTCGGTATTAATGCACTGTGCGTTAGAATCACATCCTCCGTTGTTCGTCAAACACTCGTTAATGTCCCTGCACTCGACTCCGTTACCTACGAAGCCTTCGTGACAGGTACACTCGTAAGAGCCCTGAGTATTCTGACATTCGGCGAATTCGCTGCAAGAATATGCATTTAACAGACACTCGTCGTCGTCTGTGCATCCTGGACCCTGTTCCGGTTTCACGGAGTATCCTTCCTCGCAACGACAGTTATAGGAACCAATAGTGTTGTAACATTCACCGTAACCGCAAATGTGAGGCTGCGTGGTGCACTCGTCGATATCTAAAGAGTTGAAGCAACGTGAAAGCAACGTCTACGGTGTTAAGTTTTTTTTTTTTTCGAGAGAGAGAAAAAAAGATTCAGCCGAAGACAGTGCAAAGTAAACAAGTGAATAAAGGATTATTCGAGGAATTCAGGTGTTCGAAATTTTTATTCAACGTACAAAACTTTATTGAAAAAAACCTTGCTCGATCGTCTAGTCTACAAAATATCATTTACCTATGCAAGATACACCGTCCTTCCCAGGTGCTAGCCCATCGGTGCAAGTGCATATATATCCACCAGCAATATTGCTGCATTTCCCACCGTTACAGATTCGAGGATTCTCTTTGCACTCGTCCACGTCCACGCAAGATCGACCGTCCAGATTCAACGCGAATCCGGTGCTATTGAAACACACGCGAAAAAGAAATAATTAAAAGAAAAAGAAGAGAGAATAAGGTTAATTCAAGTTTTATAAAATTCCAAGAACTGAACTTCCAATCTATCGGATCTTCACGTCGATTTCCAGCAACTTATTAACCACTTGGGTTTGAATTTATAAGCGTCTACTTAATTTTGCAGTAATTAACCGAGGAAAATCTTCGGTTAAGTAACAAAAATAAAAGATCGATCTGGTGTAACGATTCGTATTATTACAATACACAAAGAATTACAAGAAGAGATACGTGAAAAAATCGTTATCAAAGTGAAAAGGTCAGACGACGAGTAAGGACACTTGCAATTCGTCTCGAGACGTTATTCCAAAGCCAAGTGGTTAACCCATTTGCATCCGTAATCGGAATAATCCGCACATGACGATTGTATAGAAGGATCTCAAAATTTCTTAATAATTTTGAATTATTGCACGCAATTTCGGAGTGAAATCAGTAATAAAGAAAAACACAAGAAATATTGGGCCGACTGCCAATTGAACGTCTCAGATGAATAACGCTAGTAGCCTATTCAGAGCTGTGATGCAAATGGGTTAATAACATCTTCTCAAATGATCAATCACGCTGTAAATATTGAAACGTTGGAAAAGAAGAGCCACCTGCACGAGCAAGAAAAACTGCCAGGCGTGTTCAGACAGATATCCTCGCAGCCGCCGTTGTTGCTGGCGCACTCGTTTATATCCTCGCAGTGGGACTTCAATCCAGTTTGCTGATAACCATCGTCGCATATGCACTGATAAGTGCCCATCATGTTCTCGCAGACACCGTTCGAGCAGATCCCGCTGGTTCTCGAGCACTCGTCAATATCCTTGCAGGACTGCTTGTCAGGGCCTAACTCGTGTCCAGGCGGGCATTGACACTTGAAGCTGCCCTCTGTGTTGATACAGGTGCCTCCGCGGCAGAGTCCTGGCGTTTCTTTGCACTCGTTTATGTCTGAAATTTTATTACGCTCGGTGGATCAGTTCGAGTGGTTCGATTAAGTTTCTCACAGATCGTGCGTCGATTAGTGTCAATTATATTTCGTTGTTTTTTTTTTTTTTTGGAAGCATCTTAGTTGGAAGTGTTTAAGACATGTAGGGAACGGTTTGGCTCGATTTAGCTCGACGTTACGTACCCATGCAAATTTTCATGATATCGCTGCTGCGATACCCGGGACTGCAGTCACACTGAAAGTTGCCAGGCGTGTTTCTGCAGGTTCCGTTCCCGCACACTCCGTGCATGATCTCGCATTCATCGATGTCTGTGCATAAATAATAAATTCACAGATTATCGAAAGATGTCAGGTTCCATTTAATATCAAGAATCAGTTTTAATTAGCGTTACGCCGGCTGGCGGAACTGGTCTCGAATGTAAACTACAGTTCTACAATTTTATTTGGTCTTAATTTTTCAAATTTACACGTTTATCGTCGTTTCTATTTTGCGTTTGTGTTTTACGACTCTTGACACTCACCGTTACACTTGATCCCGTGTTCGTCCAACGCGAAGCCTTGATTGCACTTGCAACCGAAGCTTCCAATCGTGTTCTTGCATCTTCCGTTGAGGCACATTCCAGGAAACTCGATGCATTCGTTGATGTCCTGTTTGTCCGTGAAACCGTCTCCCCTGGGACACAATTCTTGGTGCGTGTGGGTGCCTGGCTTTGGACAGGATTCGCATCTCTCCGTGCCCCATGCTCGACCCACGGAACAACAGCAGAGAGCCTTGGAAAATTGGCCTTCTATCGGATTCGAGCATTGCCCGTGACGATGATCCAAGAAGCAGGTCTCTTGTCTAGTGTCTATGCACGTGGTGTCTGAACAAATTTGTCAACAATTAAATCGCGAATTTACTGGTGACACACGCTAAGTCGATACGTTAACCCTGATTTTTCGTCGTTCGTGAGAAGAAAAATGATGGTTCATTATGATTTTATATTTTGACAGGAGAAGAATTGATAAGAAATTGGTGAAACTAATTCACTGTGAAACTTACAAAATATAGCGTTATAAAGGGTTAGCGTAATTTACATGACGTAGATCTAGAATGAATGACTTAGAGTGTATTACCGATATATAAAGGGGTAGTATTTACATTTTTTCACCCTAAAGTAAAATCGGACATTTTTTGGCCCGGTTTTATCAGTACAGCCAGGAAATATTGATGAAAAAATCGAAGAAATTAGAAGTATTTTTGTACAAGCTTGAAAACTCACGTGTTGCGTCTAGAGTCAAGCCAGGAGGACACTCGCAACGATATGATCCGTCGGTGTTCACGCAAGTGCCACCGCCCTTGCAGATACCACTGTTCAATTCGCATTCGTTTACATCCACACACTCTTTTCCGCCGAATTTCGCGTATCCCTTGGAACATTCGCAGATCGAATGGTCACAGATTTCGCAAGGACTGCCCCAAGCAACTCCTACCGAACAACAGCACTCTGACTTGAGCGCCAATCTGGGTAGATTGTATTCACATCGACCGTCTATCATCTTGGTCCAACAGGAACCCCTCCTATTGTCTAAGGGAAATTTCAATTACATTATACAGGGTGGTTGAAAAACAAATGTCAACTTTTATATTTTATAATTCATATGCAAGTAAACTAACTCTAGAGAGACTTTAAAAAGTCTCCACTTGTGACATTTTGCGAAGAAAAGAAAATATGCGCATATGCAAATTTTCCATGCAAGTGTTACAATTTTTTTTTAATCACCCTACATTTCCTTGATTTCCACAACGTTACCAGTGGAAGAATATCAACAAAATTTCCTTTCATTGATAAAATTGATTTTTCTTTTATAGATGAAATAAAAATTTTCGTTTATTATTTATACCCATGCATATATGGCCAGTGTGGTCCAGAACGTATCCAGGGGAGCACTCGCACCCGTATGAGCCCGGAGTGTTCACGCATATCCCGTTCAGACAGATATCTGGCCCTAACTCCTCGCATTCGTCGATGTCCTCACACATGTGATTCTGCGTGTTGAATCGCGTGCCGCTTGGACAAACACACTGTGCGAATATCACGCTTAAATATCTCAATTGGTCAGGGGGAATCACTTAACGTGCTTTAGATCTAATCGAAACTCGGTTCAACAGACGAGCAGATACTTGCCTGGAAGCTTCCAGGAGTGTTTCGACACTGGCCACCGCTGCACAATGAATCCTCCAATGCACACTCGTTTATGTCCGTGCATATCTTCCCTGACGCGTCCACTTCGTAGCCGCTGTCGCAGATGCATCGATAAGTCCCCATCAGATTCTCGCAGCCGCCGTTTACGCAAATGTTCGGATTCTGTGCGCACTCGTTGATATCTGTTTCAGAGAAATGGATCGAAAATAAGTATTCAGAAGAATTAGAGGTCTCTGCTGTTTAAGATTATCGAGTATTCAGGAGACTCGTGTAACAGGTCGAAAAAAAATTTGGTTTTTGCTTCAATCAATAGTGGTACGTCTGAAAAATATGTCTGTGAAGTTGTAAACTGAAATTCGAAGTATTAACAAGGCTACAACAGATTTTATACAGATTTTTGACGGAGGTTCAAAAACTTTACACTAAAACTTTAAACGCGTTTTTCTCGAAACGACTTTTTTCGAAATGGCGTGCAGCATAATTCGACTTGGCCATGTGTGAGTACGTAGATAAATAAATTCTGCTCTGAACGAACCTGCAATTTTAACGATATTATTCATTTTAATTACTTTTATTGCACGATTAAGACGAAAATTTTTCGTCAAAATCGCAGTATTTCTTCAAAGTGCCGCCATTTTCTCAATTTTGCATCTTTTTTATTTGCAAATTTAGGTTCATCCAGAGTGTAATTTTATAAAGAATAGAAAACTATGTGAATTTTATGTTTTAGGCCGCGACGAAATACCCCTACAGTTTATAATAATCGAATTATTTTACCCGAAAAAAAAATATTTTCTACTCTTTTAAATGTGTTGCAACCCGTCGGTAAGGCGAAGCCCTGTTTTCAATTGTTCAGAAGTCTGTTGTTTTCCAACGCGCTTTTTATCAGATGTAATTATTTCAAGAATATATATATGAATTTAGTGTATCTTTGCGTATATTCCACGAATATCCAGCACCACAAAATAACACGTTGAATAAAATATCGTGAAAGTTTCAAAAAGATCTATTCGATAGTTTCTGAAGAATAAATTCACAAAGATCACCTTATCTTTAGCGAGTTACACGAATCTCCCCCCTTAAGTCGTGCAATATGAAATTTCGAATTTCTAACAAAATTCGAAAATTGATTGCAGAAGTGATTACTTCAGTGTTGAAAAATTCGGAGTTATTTTCCTGGTAACTTAAAGTTCATGCAATTCTTGGTATGTTACTGTCGAGGAATCGAAGAATAGTGTTTGTTGCAGTTAAAAAAAAATTTCGTATAATATCTATCGTCTTTATCAAATTACCATCTCCATTGTAAGTCATTCCGGCGCCATGCGGACACAACGCGTCGAATTCGCTGCTGCTAGGAAGTGGACAAGGTTGACAGGTACTTCCCCAGCCCATAGGTTGTCCTAATATCACGGTGCAACAGCAGCAACTTGATTTTGTTACTGCTGTTGACGTAGGGTTGGAACACTGTCCATCTCGATACTGAGAGTAGCATAAGTCCCTCCTGGTATCTGTTGGCAATTAAAATATTCGAATATTAATCGACTTCTTGCTTCGTATAGTAAAGGCAAAAATTTCTACCAACCTAAGCAAGATCTTCCATCTGGACCTAAATTGAATCCAGGATGACACTCGCACCGGAAGCTACCGGGAGTGTTAATGCAACGACCATTCTGGCATGGTCTACTCAGGCACTCGTCGATGTCTAACGAATAATAAAATTAATTATTTTTCCAATATCAGAATTTTCAAAAATTCTTTTTTAATAATTCACAACACTAACCGATACAGTGACTTTGATCCGGTCCAATCCGGAAGCCAGAGTCGCAGACACACTTGAACGAACCCTCCATGTTCACGCATTTCCCATTCTCGCACATTCCACTCGTGGAACACTCGTCCATATCCACGCAGAATGTGTTATCTCGCGAAGGTGTGAATCCAGATTGGCAGATACAGTGATAGGATCCTGGTGTATTTTCACATCGACCATTTAGACAGATTCTTGGATTATCAGCGCATTCGTTGATATCTGTAAATGAGCAATTGATTAATTACAGGTGAAAACATTATAAATATCATTCTATTTAACACTCACCGATACAAGTGTTTCTTGTGGGAGATAAGACGTAACCATCGTTGCACTGGCACTTGAATGATCCATTCATGTTGATACAGTGTCCATTGTTACACATTCCTGTATCCTGGCATTCATCGTGATCTATGAAAGAGAATTGTTTTCGATCGTTTAATAACTGTGTAATTTTTACAGTCCTTACACTCGAATTTTTATCTCGGAAATATACTCTATCTACGAAAAGTTTAGAACCACTGTGCGCTTTAACACGCTCGCTGCCACCGACGCAGCGTGTGCGGTCCAGAATGTATTGTCCAGGGTGCTATGGATTTTCTGGTGGCAGCGAATGTGTTAAAAATTTACAAAAATTAACTTTTGTTCACAAAACTTAATTCGCAAAAATTAATTTTTGTTTGCAAAGCTCAATTCGCAAAAATTCTATTTTCCCCATTTTCAATCCTTTCGTTATATTGAAAATGATCTGCAAAAATCCATACCCGTGCAATATCTGCCTTCGCCGGAAACGACAAAACCCGGAGGACAGTGGCACGTGAAGCTTCCCTCGTAATTCTGACATGTTCCACCGTGGCAGTATCCCAACAGGCACTCGTCTACGTCCTCGCATCTGCCGGCCTTCTTCGTGAATCCTGGATAACAATCGCACTCGTAGCCGTCCTTCGTGTCGATGCACTTCCCGTTTCCGCAAATGTCCGGCCGCAACGCGCACTCGTTTATCGCGGTGATCGGCTGCAGTTGTTGCAAGCAAAGCCTGTTGTAATCGTCTATAATTGAGTAATAACACGGATCCCGTTACTCGCCGTTTACTCTAGGCATTATCTGCGCTTTCTAGGTGACTTTTATCCGTTCCACTTTACCGCTATTATTCGCTGTGAACGTAGTAATTTGACATTTTTTTTTTTTTTGTTTTCTTTGCTCGTGTTCTACATACCACTTCCGTAATTAGGACAAATGTAGCACTCGTCACCCCAGCCGCGACCCATGTTCTTGCCACAACAGCAGTCCTTCTTGCTCAGTCTCATTGCCAATCGATTTTTGCATTGGCCATTTCTGTTCACCGACGTGTAGCACAGTCCTTGTCTTCCATCTGAAGTTTTTTTAATAATTATTTCGGTATTTGAGTCGATTAATCTCGAAAGGGCAAAAGTACGAAAATTGTGATTGTGCAGGACCAATAGGATACATTTTGCCACCGAAACAATGTGAAATAGTGTCTAGTGTTATTGTTATAGTTATTCAAAGAAACTGAGTTTGTTCGTATTTAAACACTAAATATTATCAAATTGGCTAAAATAAAATGTGGACTTATGTTCTTTCAATGATAGATCTGTTGCATGCTGAAATAAATTGCACATCTACACTTAGATCGAATAGAAGCATTGTAAAAGAAAGACAGTGTTAGTAATAATAGTAATATGTTCTTTATTACTTAAAAATAGAGATTTCTGTTTGGTTTCTATTTGCCAAAAATTTCAATAATAAACCATTCAATTTAGAATGAATTATAGGTTGTCGAATAGTTCTGTATTTCGTACCGATACAAAATCTTCGATCTTGACTCTGAATGAATCCAGGATTACAGAGACAATAGTAGCCACCGTTCGTGTTCACGCATCGTCCATCCACGCAGATTCCTTCCTCCTGACATTCGTCTCTATCCTTGCAAGCGTTTGTTTCCGGATCTCTGGCCTGTCCATCTGGACACTCGCAGGTGAAAGAGCCAGGTGTATTCAAACACTTTCCACCCTCGCACAGTCCTGGTATCGCCTCGCACTCGTTGATGTCTAATTAGTAAAAGTACGAAAAAAAGAAAAACAGTGGATTGAAGTCTGAAAGTACCAGACCTGATAGTAGAGTATGGAGAATAATTCATTTAGAAATTGTATTTTTGAAAATTGAATAGATACGAAGGGAGGACGGAAACGAAATTATTCTGGAAACTTGAAACTTTATTTTCGCATCTCTAAGGCTAGTCGAATTTTACCTGTCAAATTTTTTAAATAAATTATCAATCCTAAGTTAACCCTTTTCGGTCGCATTGTGCTCAGATATGGGATAGCTGGTGGGAATTAATTTTCATTGAAAATACAATATTTATAATTTTTCTTTTCATTTTTGCGTATGTTTAACACAATAACATGCGGTTTCATTTTATGCAAAATTTTTTAAACATTACATTTTTTACATTTCTCTGTGGTGTGATAAGTGCGCGAAATTAGAATGGTTAAGAACTTGAATTTTGAATCTCTGGTAATTTCTTTATTTAACCCTTTCCAGCTCAATTTACCTAAATTCTTCAAAAGGGGGGAAAGAACATTTTTTTCTGTTCTTTGTTAATAGTTAAATACACCAAATGTAACAGTATGGCCACTTGCAAAAAAATGTGTATTTTACTAAAAAATAATATGAAATGACATCTGTGAACAGAAATACAGAATATACCTAAATATAAAAATAATACATGATAACTAGACTGCAGATTTCTATGCACATATGGAAAATTTAAAAATGCCAAAATACACAGAATGCATATAACCAGCAAAAATATGTAAATAGATCCAAAATATAGTATCCACTATAATATATAGCGAATAAAACAATTGCCTATCCAGCTTTTATTTTTTTTTTTATCATACTCCTAAAAATATGAATTTGCCTAAAAATCCGCAGTCTAATGATAACAAATGCAGAGGGTTAATCATAGTTACTCACCGACGCATTGCCCTTGGTTGGTCTTCAAGTGTCCCAACTCGCAGTCCAGTCTAGCAGGACATCTTTCGCAAGGATGGCCCCAACCTTTGCCGACAGTGGCGCAGCACAACTGCCGTGTGCATACGACACCCTGTAGATTCGCCAGGCACTGTCCATTTTTCACTTTCGTGTAGCATGGCCCAGTTCTGTTAGGATACGTCATCGAAGAGAGGACCATTACACACTCGAGACGTATCGAAGCATCGTGACAAATGTGATCGCATACCTGTAATCTGTTTCGCATCGTCTGCCTGTGTAGCCGTAGATGCAGGCACAACGATCCGGACCGATGCATCTTCCTTGGTTCAAGCATGGCTCTCGACAAATGGCTGTTTCAAATGGAAGATGAAGTCACGAATTCTACTTGACGAGAAATCGAACGGACATAACTTCGGTACTCACGTTCGTTGCAGAATTCGCCCTGATAACCGCCGCGACATTGGCATCTGCCTTCGGCACAGTTACCGTTCACGCAATGCGCTCTGCATCTGCTCGATTCGCCTCTTTCCACAGCGTTACCACTTTCGTGTGTAGAAACTGTCAATGACGGTGTTTGAAGTAAGTTTCGTGAGTGGGATTTGTTTTTCTTCGGCTGTTGTTCCGAATGGCCCCAATGGCCAATTTCGGGATGAAACTTGGTGTGAAGGGAATGAAAGGAGTGAAAGATTCTCTACAAATTTCAAGTCAACTGATGAACTAGATCTCGAGATATCGTGTAAACCGTTTCGAAAAATGAGGTTTCGAGAAAAACGCGTTTAAAGATTCGTTTATCCACTTCATCACGGTTCGACTACATCCTTCAAACGTTTACACCTAAGTTAATTTTACTAATTCAAACAAATCCTGTTGCACACATGTCCTAGAATACTTATACTTTACGAAAATCCAAGAAAAAATTAATTTTTTGAAAGTTCAAAACCAGAATACCGTCTTAAGGGACTGAAGGGTGCGAAGGGACTCCTAATATAAAATTTTAGCTTCGGGAATACACCCGTTCTTATGTACATATAAGACATTTTCTATGTTATTTGCTTGTTAATTATGTACTTTATGTACTTAATTACATCGGCCATTGGGACCGTTCGGAACAATATTTTTTTCTTCTTTGTGTTATTTGAAAGATAGGAATGTCTGTTCAAACCTTTGGTTTGACTGCTGCTGCAAGAAGAGGCGACTGTGCCACCCTCGCACAAACAAATATTCGGCCTTATGCATCTGCCCAATGGACCACATCTTCTCGTACATACGGCTAGAAAAGAGACAGATTTGTTTTCTATGAATTCCTTACCTGTTCCTTTTTCTTTCGAATATCTTATCATTTTACGTAATAAAATTTTATTGCACTAATGTGAAAAAATTCATGCAAAAAGAATTCAATTTTTTTAAACGAGGTTTACAAAGTTAGCCAAATCTTTGACTTAGAAAGAACATTGTGAATAATTTTTATTATTATCATCTTCCGAAATTGCAGCTTACTACGAATATTTTCTATTGAAATATTCTAATCTTCAATTTTTCTCCTTCCCAAGAATCATCAAATTTACAAAGAAAAATCAAGAAATTTTATTTCAAGATTCAATTGCAATATACCCAAGCCCTGTTTAATATTCCAACACTTCTATTTCCTTCTCTTCCGCGAATCGTCAAATTTATAAAAAAGAAAATAATATATTTTCTGTTTAAATTTTTATTTCTTTTTCTCTGTTTGCCTTTCTCTTAAATTCTACTCTCTATTATTTCCAATGTACCTCCTACACTACAATGGATTTACACCCCGAAATAAATATACAAATAAATTTCTCTCCCAGATTCAAAGTTACTTCGAGTAGTCATCCCATAAGTTCCTGTCGAATTTTATAATTTACATCAATATTTTCATCAGAACCTCTAAATTTGATAAAAAACAAAAAAAAAAAAAATGTAAGCGCCTTCTAATTTCACAACTTTCTCTTAAATTTTTCTGATAAGACCATTACGTCGTCGCTACAGAATTTCCTTGGATTTTCATTGAAATATTTCTCGCATTCGGCAGGAACTTACGGGATGACCTAATAATACGAATCGAGGCTCGATATCGCGGCTGCATCGGCATGCAACCGAATTGCAAACCCCAGCGGGAGGGACAATGCGATCAACAGGAAGCGTGTAATAGGCCATTAAAGCAATTTCGTCGGAGAAGTCGATGGTCGTGTCGCGTGAACACCCATTTGGATGGTTGCGCAACCACGCAATTATTCGTCGCGAACGAGCGCGTGCTCGACGATCACGATGTTCCTTTCTGCTTCTCTTGCCCGTCTCGATAATCAACGCTAAAATTGAATGTACTCGAGCTTATGAGATCACGTCCAATTACAGGACGAGGGAACTCGTGGGCTTGATTACGATCGAGCCTCGATTCGAAATACCTCGGTTAGCTCGTACTTACGAATTACGCAGAGACCGGTCTCCGGCTTCTTCGTCCAGCCAGGGCAACAGTAATTCTTGTATCTTGACCTGCACACGTTCGGCCTGGAAAATCAAACGAAGGTAATCGCGATTAAATGGGTGTACTGGTTGATGGAGATATAGCTAGCGGTAATTCTTGGAAAAATTTGTTCGTTTGTGATTACGAAAGTGGATTAAGGCACATATGAAATGTCTTTTCTTTTTTTTTTTAACTAGGGAGCACCTTGTCGAAAAATCGGGAGAAATTTGAGGATAATAATTATGCTATGTTACGCTTCAATGTTTCAAAATGTTTTTCATTTTTTAACTCCTGAAGATGTTTCGAACATAGTGGCTATTAACGCTATAACCCGACCACACACAGTGAGCGCTTCATTTTCAAGTTGCCAGCAGTTAAAGGGTTAAAAAGTGTACCAACTCAATGCCACTACTTTCTATTGTGGTAATTTTTTTCGTTTGAACTTGAGGAAAATTTATTTACTTTAAAAAAAATAATTTATTTAATTAATTTAATTGTT